TACATTAAAATTAAATTTAATTCCTAAACATTATTACTCATGACTTTAAAAATTCATGAAAAAAATATAAATATCTCTATAAATCACCTATTTAATTATCTATGAGCGCTTAAAATGTAAACTTTATTTAAAATTAAATGTAATGTATTTTATTTCTTAAAAAATTTAAAATAATATATTTTAAGAATATATGAAAAATATTATAATTGATTCTAATTTAACTATAGAATTATTAATCAATGGTTAAATGGACATTAATAATATAAAACATGCAAATAACACATTCTTTTAAAAATATTATTAATCATTAATTAATATTTATTACAATTTATGTGAGTCATACACTCTCTCACTTCTAATTTATAATCAGCTTGAATGCATGATGAAATAAAGAGAAAAAAAATAAGTAAGCAAAAAAAAAAAAGAGAAAAAAATGAAAAAAAATAAAAAATACAGTAGAAATAAGTAAAAAATATTTAATATATATATATGCATATATATATATATATAAATAAAATTAACGTAAATTTTTTAATATTTTATAGTTTTTATTTTATGTTATTTTAATATTTAAAAAATAAGAAAAAATTCCCAATCCTAGTTATTTCTTCTTCTTCTCTTAACATTGTTTTTCTTTCTTTTTTATTCACTATCGGGAAGATTTTTTTTTGTATGGGATAAAAAAAAATTCCCTGCTTCCATACCTATCTCTATTCAAATCCAATAAAATATTATAAAAAATTTTAATATTCCGTCCGTCTTATATAGATGCCGTTTAAGAAAATGTTTGATTAATTTTACTAATAAATATAGTAAAACAAATTGATTTAACTAAATAAGTTATTATAGTAGTTAGCTAGTAAAAATCATTCCTGCTAAATAAGGTATAACAAAAGAAAATAAATTTCTTCAATATTATAAAGTGAAATTTTTTTTAAAAAGTAAAAAGTTTTTAAATGACATCTAACATGAAACACAAAAAATAATTAATATAATAATAAAATTTAACTTTAATAACAAAATATAGAATGTTTAATTAAATTTTCATAAGGAATAATAAAAAGGATAAAGAGAATATTATAATATTGTAGAAGATAAGAAATCATATACAATATATTTTTATAAAAAATTATAAATTTTTAATATAATTAAACACATTAATACTACTAAATACTAATGTTAGAATGTTTAAAATTAAATACAAATATTTTTAAACTGCTAGATAAATTAAAAAAACTGAAAAAATTGCCCTTTATTAACTCAAATTTTATCATAAATAAAGATATAATATAAAAAAATTCATTAAAAAGTTGTGTTTAAGAATTCAAAATACTAAGTTTTTATTAAGAATAAAATATTTATTATACTAAAAAAAAATGTAATGAATGTTTCATTTATTAATAAAATATTATGATTATTGGTGAATTTTTTAAAACATTCAACGTGTGTTATTAAATTAAAAATTTTAAATATATTCATTAAAATATATTATAGACTATATTTAAGTTCGATAACTTTATAATAAACATTACAATTACTAATAATAAACATTTTATTATATTAATTATTATTAATAAATGCTTTATTATATTAATTATTATAAAAAATATAATATAGAAGAAAATCATTTGATGTGATAAAAAACAATTTCTAAAATATTATTGTTTAAAAATATTTTAAAATATGATATTGTTTAACATAAATTTGAAAAGTTGCTTAAACTAAACTTTAAAAGTTAAAATTAATATTTTTTAATTAAAAATTTTAAAAATAATTTTTATTTATTTTAAACAAAAGTGATAACTAATAATATATTAATAATTATTTTTATAAATAAAATTAAAGATGTTATTAAAGTAGTAGTATAAATATTTTTTGTACTATTATTTAGTCAAAGTGATAATTTTGGATTTTTTTATATAATATTTTAAAAATATATATATGACAATATGAAAATTTTTAAAAAAATTATAAAAATATCGTAACTTAAAAATCGTCATTTGTATTTTTGTTAGTACAGATTCAGAGATAAAGAAATTAAACAATAAAAAATTTAAAAATATAAAAAAATTCCATTTTTTAAAATTTATTTTTTATTGGTGATTTAAAAATATTAAATTAAAAAAAGAAGCAAATGCCATTTTTTGAAAAAAATTAAAAACTAAAAATAATAAAATATTTCAAAATACTAAAAAACACCATTAACATTTTTACAAAAAATTGTACCAAAATTATCACCAGACAATTTTGAAAACTTTTTATATATTTTTGCAATTTTTTAAAATTTAAAAATTTGGCATTTAAATATTTTCTCGTGAGCCCCGATAGATTGACCAAAGTAATTTAAGTTAATTTCTAATACCTGACACGGTGACACCAACGCATTTGATAACGTAGATTATTAAAAATTTATTAATATATTTTCATTACATTTTAAATACGATTTCAGCATATTATTTAATAAAATTATCATTTATTAGTTTATTAACCATAATAAAAAAATATGAGCGAATATACTTAAACTATTACACATGAATTTGATGCTTAAAAAATTCAAATCTTTGCTTTCTAATCTCCAAGATTCAAACCGGCATGATTCCACTATACGCTTAAAATAACAATTTTATTGGGAAAAGATAATTAACACTATTAAAGAGGAGGGGGCACTCAATTTTATACTCCACCATGTGCAACCACTAACACCCTTCAGCACATGATGTCCTCCTCTTCAAGGACCATTTCCTCTATGCATTTAGATTCAGATTAATTACTATATAACTTTTTTCTAAAAAGGAAAAAAATACGCAAAATTAGGAGAATATATTTATGTCACATCAAATCAATAAATATTATTAACTTTGTATTTTGTTATTTAAAATATTTAATTAGACAGAAAATATGTTGTAGTTTTATTTGAAATTTGATCCGTTAGCGGTACAAGTTATGAGAACAATAACTATTACAAGCACGTAATTTTATATTTAATTTCTGGACTTATTCGTATAAAAAAAAAATTTACTATTAAGAGACGTTTTATTTTATCTCTCGCTTATCAAGTAAGGGAATATTCCAGAAAAAATATTATTTTTCATTGAAAAGTCACAGTAACAGCAAGTTGTGATGTATTTGCATCAATTGTTAAAAGTATTATAAAAGAATAATTACAAATGTTCTTTTAACATTTTCTTACACATTAAATATAGGGAGTATGGAGTTTTCTAAAAATATGAAATATATTTTTATTCAATATTAATTTTATAGAATATTAACAGAAGTAAATAATAAAAAAGAAGAGGATAAATAACAAAATTAATTGGAAAAAGTGGTTGAATAATGTCAACAGTTAGGCAGGGAAGACATTTGAAAGTGGAAAAGCAGCAGTTTGTGATAGGAGATACTGGAACTTGGAAGAAGCACTGTACTGTATAGTTACTTGTTCTTTGGTCCATCATGTTTTTGTATATATCTCTCTCAAATTTACTTTCCATTGTAAGTGGAGGGAGAATTTATGAATGCCTTGCTTTACAATTTATTCCAGTGATACATAAAGCTTTGTTTAAGCGTGAAAAAAGCAAAAGTGCGGGTCACAGTTCCTTTTCCATTTTTTTCCCGTTTTGTTATTTTAGTAATAGTAAATATTTATTCTAAAATAGTAGCTTGTACTTTTTTTATTACATTCTTTTAGGTTGTGCACTTATGTGTGTGTTTAAGTAGGTATATAGTATTTATAAACTCATGTTTGTATAATTTATTTTGTTTGATATTGAATTTCAAGTGAAATATTTATATTTTAAGATTTTGTAATTCAGAAAAAATTATAATAAATTTTACAATTTTGTTAACTTCAATTCAATTCTTAGAAATGAATTCAAATATATATAAAAAATGTAATTCAAAATATATTTTTTAAAAATAAAAGCTTACCACTTTTAGTTATTTAATTTCAACTTTATAAGATCGAAGTTGACAATTTTTTCAAAAATTTTAACATGAAATTCTCAATTTCATACGAAAGCAATATATTTTGTTACTTTTGATTAATTTTTCTTTTAGAAGTAAATTTAATTATCAATATGAACATGTGATGATACTTATTACTTACATTTGATGCCATAACCCTAATCCTCTGTTAGGCTATTATGATATTGTCATATATGCCTTGAGAGACTGCCTACCATGCCTTTCTTTCCTTTCCAGGATTGTTTCTTTGTTTCTTGGTAACCTATTTTACTTTTTTCATTCACCTAATAAAATCATATGGTAACATGTGTGGTGATTCTTTTCTCTCACTTTTTTTTTCTTTAGCCCATATTCACACATTATACATTTTAAAATGGGTAAAGAAAAAGAAAGCCCCTCCCAACAACTTTAATACTATTTTATATGTTTCTCCACCAGATTCCAACCAAAACCAAATAATTATTTCCCTTAAAATATCATTTCTTTCATTAAATATTAATTCACCAAAATAATTTTTAATACCCTCAATTCAGTATATCTCCTTTTCCTTCCGTTTATTTTTTTAATCTCGATTTGGACAGTCTTAGGAAAGTTAGGAACCCAATTACCTGAACAACAAAAACAAGGATTCATTTTATCTGGCCATTTTCATTTCCTTTGGAAACTCAAAAAAAATCAAATTTCACTCTTTGTTTCTGCACAATATTTTTCCCATCTATTTTCTCAAAACTCGGATATTATTTTCTCCCAGAAAAATTTAGATCATAATTTTATTTTTGTTTCATTCAATCCCACTAATTTTTTTAATTACGAAATTTATGCTAATGGTGCAAAGTTGAAGATTTTCTATATCTTGTTTCATGCTCTGCTTCCCAAGCTTTTAATTAGATTTTCTGGTTAAAATTTTCATCTTTTTCCAAAAAAATATTTCCCAGCATAGCAGTGAAGGTTCTGGGTGATTGAGTTTGAAGAAGAAAAATGAGATATTGATGTGCGGTTTCACTTTATGTTATGTGTGACTACTTCACAAGTGTTTGAACATGGAAACCAGTGGCGGTGTTAGCGGCGGCGTTACAGTGGTCGGATCGGATGCTCCGTCGGACTACCATGTAGCTCCGAGGACCGACAATCCGGCTCCGACCGGTGGATCCACCACGCAGATTCCGGCGACGGCGGGGAGTGCTCCGCCGCCGTCACACCCGCCACACGCGGCGGCGATGGAGGCGTCTCCGGCGACTATGCCGGCGAAGAAGAAGAGGGGTCGGCCGAGAAAGTATGCACCAGACGGGTCGGTGACCATGGCGCTGTCTGCAAAGCCAATATCTTCTTCGGCCCCGTTGCCGCCGGTGATCGATTTCTCGGCGGAGAAGCGCGGAAAAGTAAAGCCAAATAGCTCGCTGAGCAAAGCCAAGTTTGAGTTGGAGAATTTAGGTAACAAAAAGGAGAAAAAGAAAATCTATTTCTTTTATTTATGATAATATGAGTTTTTGTTTTAAAAGATTATTATGAGTGTTAAGTGCTACTGTGTTGTGTTGTGGCATGCGTTGTTAGTGTTGGAAATTGGGGTAAGTTTTTGGCTTATCGGGAAGTGAATTCAGATGTGGGGCCTGTGATTGATTGGATGAGCATAGTTAGGCTAATTGTTGTCCTGAAAAGTGAGTTAGCTTTGTGGGTCGGTATGGGACGGTGGAATCTCGTTATGCCTGTCGTTTTGGCAGTTCAAAGTTCAAACCTTGATCGTGGGAACCCAACCCAAATCTTTATATGTACTTTGTTAGGTACTAACTGCTACAAATCTGCAACTGATGTTGAACACACTTGGACTTAAAAACACAAGTCTTCATCACACCCTAATAGGAGGGAAAAAAATATAAATGTTCCCTTTTTTTTTGTTTTTGTTTGTGTAGTTATATTTGGTTCTTTGTGTGTGTGTGGTATTCTCGGTGTTGCTTTCTTGGAATTGGTTAGAGTGATGGAAGGACTTTAAATATTATTGTGCACTGTGTGTCTGTCAAGGGGTCCGAAGTCCAAGTTGACATCAGGTCCTCTTTTTGGTCTTCTCGCTCACATCAACTCTATTTAGTACTTTGTAGATATCATAAGTGATGTGTATTACGTGGTCCTTCCTTCTTATACTGCTCACTGGATAACGAGGCTGATATGGATTGTTAGGGTACTCATATCTGCAAGTTAATATTATCTTTGATTTAAATGGGAAACTGATTGTTTGATCGCAAAGTGTAAACATATTAATTGGGAATTTTACTTTTCAGTTCAATATGTTAAAAAAATATGAAGTATAAATTGCAATAGTGTAGGATTCATAAAGTTATTTCTTGTGTATAAGGTGATAATATGATATTTATGATGTATTGGATGCATAATCAATATCTGAAGACTTTGAATAAACTGGTTTTCTTAGAGCATTAATACTAATATTAACAGTAATTTATTATTCCCTTTTGCCTCATTCTTTAAGTTAATTTTTTTGTTCAATTTGAATTTGATTTTCTGCATGTTTTTTTAAATTCTGATAAGCTTCTATTTTTGCCAAGGGTTGAAGCAAATTTCCCTAACTTGCTTTTACTTATTTACACAACATAAGTTTTAAATTTCTATGAAATATCTTGGTTCATAGTTGACATTGGAATGTATAGCTTCTGTACACAAGAAATTTCTTGAATTATTCTGGAAAAGGGGAATTTTCAGCATATTTTTTTGAAATTAAATTAAATGATATTGTCTGTCTGGCACGAAGGTTAACAGAAATAAATTTGATGTTCCATTCAATTTACAATTCTTAAGTTGAATTTTAAAGTAGTTATTTGCAAATAATGGATATAGCAATTAGTTCTTGACGTGGACCATAAAGATATTCCATCAATCTAGGACAAAATTATAATGTTGTTTCAACTTTTTTAGATGCATGATAACTGTGGTATAAATATTCTCATTCTTTATTTGGCCTATATTACGAATGCCTTGTAATAGAAACTGAGACTCTTTCTCATTTCACATTTGATTATTAATTTTTGAAAATTTTACCCTTTTTAGGAGAATGGGTTGCATGCTCAGTTGGTGCTAATTTTACACCTCATATCATCACTGTTAATTCTGGGGAGGTAAGTGTCAAAAATATCTATTGCTTTATTTTGTTTTTATATATCATTTCTATGATCTATATTCTATGATATATCGTATCCTTTATTTTCCATGCTTTTTGTCTTTGGATAATTCCATTGTATTACTCTTAGTTACTGCTGCTACTTACTCTAGGTCAACCTGTTGTTTCAACTCTCACTGAAAACAATCATCTCATCTATTACTTGTTTTTATCCTTTCCCCATTCGAATGTTTCACTCTGTGGCCAGTTTTCCAATTTTTTCTTTGATGAGTGATATATGTATATATGAAAGATGAGTGATTAATTATCAAAAGAATGACAATGATAGAGAGCTTACTTAACAACTTGTTGATTTCTTGGAATGACTACATTCATTTTCTTTTTTATGGTGATAACTGGGAAAGACGATGATTGACAACTATTTTCTTTTGGTTATCTTAGGATGTTACTATGAAGGTAATATCATTTTCTCAACAAGGGCCTCGAGCTATATGCATTCTTTCAGCTAATGGTGTCATATCAAGTGTCACACTTCGTCAGCCTGATTCTTCTGGGGGCACATTGACATATGAGGTGAAACACTTGTGCAATTTGATAGTATCATTTTATTCAAATGAACAAAATATCAAATTTATTTGTAGTTATTTGATTGTATCTTTTATATATGAAAATTATATGCCAGCCACACAGTTATCATCTCAATTATTGAATTTGCTTTTAACTTAAAAAAAAAATCTTAATCTAACTATTTTATTACTGGTAAACTACCTCCATGTTGTTTCTCCTACTATCACAATGATTTTAATTTTAGTTGTTTAGTTAATATTGATGTTTCATTGTTGATGATATGAAGTGTAACTCTTAAAAGGATGGATCTGGATGCTTACTGATAATGTTGTTTCCCTCCTTTGTATTATGTGTTATGTTCTTTTCTGGCTTTTTATTTTTCATTTTTGCATAAAAAGATTAAAGACAATTTTTTAATCTATGTTCGAACTGAACCTAGACATTTATTACTCCCAAGTTATGTTTTGTGATATAAGTTAAAGTGTGTTGTTTATAATTTTTTTTTAAGTGATATCTGATTCATAGGTAAATTGCACAATGCTTCTTGGCAGTTCTTTTGGTGTGCCATTGTTCGAAATTCTTGGATCTATTGATGTTTTATATCAAACAGAAAGTTAACTGTTTGAAAATTCGATGTTTTTAAAATTTCTTAGCAATTATGTTCTCTCTGGAATTTTTTTTACTACCTGTTAAAGAATAGTTCTTATGGAATGATGTACAATCTAGTGGAAGCCTTAGTTTCAATAAAAATTAATATTGAGAAATGCTTAGCAGCCTGCCAGATCTGCCTGAATTCCTAAATTGACTAGTTGGGTTGTTTCTTGAGTCTTGACGACTCAATGATGTGGGCTTCGGTGCTTAACAAATGAGCCATGTATCTCACTGGTGCTTATTTGTGTAGAAAAATTTGATATGAGCTGGAATAAAATGAATATTTTCTTAGCCTATCATGAATCATATGGTGTGAGAAGAGAATTTTCATATAATTCCATAATGTTTTGAATGGTTCTACACAGTTAAAGAGTGCTATAACTCCTGCCTTTCGTAACATTTTTTTGCATATCATTTCTATCATATCCTTTATTTTCCATGCTTTTTGTCTTTGGTCAACCTATTGGTTCTTTTCATTCTGCATTCAAGTTTGAAGTTAGTATTCCTTTGGCCTCCTAAAACTACTGTTGCCAATTACAAGAGGAAATCTCTTCTTTCTTGCTGCTGTTTCTACAGGGTCGATTTGAAATTCTGTCTTTATCTGGCTCATTCATGCCGAATGAAAGCGGAGGAACACGTAGCAGATCAGGTGGCATGAGTGTTTCTTTAGCAAGTCCTGATGGACGTGTTGTAGGTGGAGGAGTAGCTGGTCTGTTAGTGGCTGCAAGTCCTGTGCAGGTTTCAATTCATAAATTTATTTCCTTTTTCGTTTTCTAACCAGTGAAGTATGCTTAGACCTAAATAAGACGGTTTAGTTTCTAGTAACATGCATTAGATAATAATTTAGTCTTCTAACCTTTTTTTTATTTTATTTTGGTCTTTTATCTTCATTTAGATTCAATTTGGTCCTATTTGTCAGATGTGATGGTAATAGGCCACAACAATTGCAAAAAGTCCGTATCTTCAGGCAGCCAAAATCCAGTACAATTGGTAGATAGAACCAAATTGAAACCAAACTAAGAGACAAAGGATCAACATGGGAAAAAAAAATTACAAAACCAAATCGAAATGAAAAATAAAGTTACAGAACAAAATTAAATTACTAATTCTGTATTCCATGACAAGTTTATATGATTCTAATCATTCTGTTTTCCAAACGATTGATATGTATCAGGTAGTGGTAGGAAGTTTTCTGGCAGGAAACCAACACGAGCAGAAGCCAAGAAAACAGAAACATGAGGTAATATCCACTGCAACACCAACTGCAGTTGTTCCCATCACTACTCTTGATCCAATACCTATTCTATCGTCAGCTTCATCCATCCGCGGAGAAAATTGGTCTGCTATGCCGGCGGATGCCAAGAATAAGCCGGCCGACATTAACGTGTCCCTTCCTGGAGGGTAATTTATAGGCCTTGAACTTGATCCATCTGAATTTATATTTGCTGCTGACAACATTGTAATAGGATTCCTAGTTGTTGGCGTGCTTTCCCTTGTTTGTTGTGTCTGTAAGCTTGTTGACTGTGTATCGGGACCATCATGTTTTCAGAGGTTTACCAGGTTCCTTCTCTTGTAGAATTTGAGGTAGCTCATTAGCTTTGCTTTTAATGCTGATGTTGTGTCGTGAAGAATATTTTGATGTCATAGTTATTCCTGAATATCCATCTTCCTTTTGAGTGATAGATTGTGTCCCATGTTATTTCTTGTTATTATGACAATATTCCTACTTTCAGAATAATCGTTTCTTTTGTACATTGTGTGTGTTCTTAATTGATTCAACTTATTTTAAAGAAATAATTGCTTATTTTTATTAGCTCCATAAGACAACTTTTAAAGAATGAGTGATTATACCATCAAACACGGGAATCTATCTAGTAGAGGATTATTTCAACTTAACTTGTAGAATCAAATTTGAGTCTTAGCAAATATAACTATACTAAATATTCAACGGTTCTGTCAGTGAAAGATATTTTTGGTTAAGATGAAAAAAAGAAGAAGGAAAGAATAAGTGATTATTTCATTAAAAATAATTGTATCTACACATGAATTTATCACTGTAAAATATTCTTAAACAGTCAAGAACTTAGTGATTTTCCTGTTAACTATTGATGTCTTACAAATATAGAAACTATGAAGTAAAATAAAAGGCGATGTTTTGTTCTAGAATATGCATTTCGTCTCACTTTCAATCGGAGGACGTTTTAATCCTTATTATAAATATAATGTATGCATCTAAAAAACTTCTTAGACATCGTAGGTTTTATCCTATGATTTAGCTCTCTTCCGAGAATCTAGGGGTGTTTTGTCGTCAATGGCCATATTCTTCGTGAAGGTTTGTCTTATGTAGAGATAGATGTGCCGTGAAGTTGGGTTTGGCATTTCAAGTTGCTTGGGATTATTTTAATTTCGTCAACGGCCATAATCTCCGGGCATGTAACATCAATATGTTGTCTTATATATATAGATGTTCCTTAAACCTTGGTTTAATATCTAAAGCCTCGGGTTGGTTTGAACTTTGAAATACTTTTATTTTATGGTTAATATAAAATTTTAAAAGAGGAAGCTGTTTGAGAGTGATATGTTAAGCCAACTCCATGCCTTGGATTAGTTTAATCTTGCAAAGAGTAAAAAGATTTATACAGAATCTATGAGACACTGGGCCTCTCCCACTAGCTAGTTCGTATTGATACTGTATATCTATGCAATTGGAGGTATTTAACTATTTATAAAGAATTATATTCTCAAAACCATTATGATTGAGCAACCAGTGACTGAGAAATTACCTCCCTCATGATTGGTTTGATTAATTTTTTGAGTTATGCAGACTAGTGACCTGATCGAGTCTTAATCAAACAAATTAGTTTGATTCAATTTTTTAAAACACTGAAAAATCCGCTGAGAATACCATTAGCATTAGTTAAATGACAACTCTAATCATAATGTTTATTTATTTATTTTTAGTTGGGCAATGAAGCGAGTCTCGTGTATGAGAAAAATCTCCCACTAAGATTTAGATGAAGGTAAATCGGAGGCAAGAAATAGGGAAGAAGGCTATAAAAAGAAAATATTACTTTTACATTATTTGATTGGATAAAAATACATTTGAGACCCACCAAAAACATTACCTCTCATAAGAGGCATGAAATATATTCGAGGGAATATGCATATTTTTCTCCTTATTTAACTGATTAAAAAAAAAATCAACTTTGTATAACAAAAAAAAAAATATATTTTATATTAAGATGAAAAATATGTAATAAAAAGTTCTTATTTTTTTTAATAATATAAAAAGTATATTATTTTTTTATTTATATACTATTTTTTCCACTAATCCAAATAAATAAATAAAAATTTCTTCACGTCTTTTTTTTCTTCTTTCAATTCATCTAAACAATACATTGATTTATTTTATTTTATTATTTACATATTTTTAGTATTTTACTCTAAACATCCAAACAAAGCATAATACCTTCTGAATAACTTAATTATAAGCAAAAATAAATAAATAAAAATGATAACCGTGATCAGGGTGCCAAGCATAACGCTGATAAACCCTTTGCTAAAATAAAGTCCCCTAAAAGTATATTAATTATTAATAATTTTTTATTTAAAAAACTATTATTATTAGTGTATAAATAATATTAAAATAAAATATTTTTCAACTAAAAAAAAATAAAGTATTATCATATTGTGACTCATCTGTTTTCAATTAGTAACTATATTGTTTATTTTTTATTATCAGTCCTACTTTAAAAATATTTTTTTATTTAATATTTTAAACATTATGATAAAATAAAGCACTAAGGTAAAAATTATCATAAATATTAATTATCTAGTATACAGATAATATTTACAAAACAATGTCAACAATTAAAAACAAAATTACTAAAATATTACTTAAATCAATAATATATCAATAAAAATTAAATATATTGACTCTAATGTTAATTAAAAATAAATAAAATTGATAACAATCATTTAATAAATGATTTTAAATAATAAAAATATAAAAATAAGTTTCAAATAAAATATATAATAATTTAAAAATATTATTTAAATTATTTTAAAAAAACTCAATTTAAATTTCGCTTTGAAGTCTAAATATTGATTGACGTGACATGGTAATGATAAGTGTTTATATATCTTGGAGGCCACCGCCCGCCGTGAGGAAGTTTCCTATGTACAGCTTAGTAATTTCTTCGTCATTCATGCTTGGAGGCTTCCATTACTTGGAACAGATGTGCGTGTTTCACCATTAACACAATTCATGAAGCTTTCCAAGAAATAATCTTCTATCGACTTTGTTAAGAAAATCTCATAAAATATTGAATTAAATTCACTATATATATGTCACGATATATTCGAAGCTGTAGTACAAAAATACCTCAACGCATGATAACTAAATAGTGTTTGTAGCTATGGACGTGAAACTGGATAGGATACTAATACCTGTGATTTTGTGCATAGTTGGAATCTCGGTTCACAACTCAACGTCATCAACCCTATTTCTAGTGTTTTATGTGATTAACACAATAATTTTCGCCATTCTCGTGGGAAGTCGCAAACCATCTTCAACAAATTTTGACGAGGCTTTGCCTTTTCTTCCATCTTTATTTGAAGTAGAGGGAGAAGCACAAGATGGTCTTTTAGCTAATGTAAGAGATGATGAAGTTCATGAAAGTGATGATGGATGTTGCAAATCTCTCGGTAATAATATTAAAGATGAAAGTGTAGACAGTGTTGACGAAAGTATAACGCAAGAACAAGAAGAATTCGATGATAATTTGAGCACAAGAATTGAAAACTTCATCGCCATGGTCTACAAGGGATGGATTGAAGAGAGCCACTGGGATAAATATGGCATAGACATATGAATTGGAAGTGACAATGGGATTTGTTTTGGATCTAAACATTTCTCATAAAAGCAGTATTTTTGTATGATTAGCATTGGCTTCTAATTAACTAGTTTTAGGTTGTATTGTTTTTAGCCATTGTGGAAGGTTAATTTGTATCAAGTATTTGGTCGAATCATCCACGCTACGAGTATAAAGATAAATAATTTCCAAAATACAGTTGCCACGGATTTAATTCAAATATTTATTCATGTACAAGTTAACCCTAATTTTAAAGGATTGGTATTATATGAATTTTATGAATTTAAAGACTAGATTCTTCGGGAACTAAATTACATATATATTTGAAGAATATCATATTGATTTGGAGTAAGGATTTTTTTATGGCATTATTTAAGAAATTAATAAATAATAAATTAAAAAAATTGTTAAAATGTATTGAAAGTCACAAGAACAAGTATCTTTTTATATTTAGGATTAGAAAATTTATACTTTTAATCCTTTAATCAATATATGTAAGATTAGTATTTTTCTTGGAGTAAGGTTTTGCCAGATACAACCTCTACTAATCATGCCAATCTGCCTTAGATTAGATCTGGAATGAAATAATTTTGGGAAAGCGAGAAAATGTGATTTTTTTGTTTGAAGTAAATATCATCTAATTTTAAAATGAAAGAAACAATATAATAAATTATCGTGAAATATTTTATTCATTCCTTTCAACTTTTTATAAACGCCCAAAAAAGGTAGCTCAAAGATAATTTTTTTATATTTCCTGCCATTCCAAACCCTCCTCCATCGAATTTGTAACTCAATATTAGAAATTCTGCACTGTTCTTAACAGTAATAGAAATTAGAGATGTTTATAATTCAGTATTTACTCAAAAAAATCATCTAAACTAAATATAAAATTAATATATAATTCAATTTAAATTTAACATCAAAACAAAATCAATTCAATATGTTACAGTTTAATTTGAATCGACTTTTATGGTCTTTTTAATGTTTTTAATTGAATTATTTTTCTAAAAATTATTTATCAGTATACAATTTTAATTTAATTTGATTCAATTTTAGCAGTAAGAATAATAAATCAGACCGAATCATTATATATATATATATATATATATATATATATATATATATATATACAGTTTTTAGTTTTTTCATATCAATTTGATGATTTAAAAATAGTTAAGTTTTGAATAGGCCTGATAGAAACATGTAGCTTTATACCAATGAATAACCATATTTGCTCTTACCCATCAAATATTTACCCCTCAATTATATTTGCGACAACCGTGTCCAACTCAATCGAACGTAAATATGTTCTGTAACATATTCTGTTTAATACATTTTTTATTATTAACTAAAATTTACACAATTATGCAAATCTTATTCCTTATTTAATAACTTCGTTATCCCAATAAAAACACCAAAGAGTGAGTAAAAAAATATTAAAAATTGTTACTAGTACATTCAATGATACAAAACACTCAATTCTTGGCTCCAGGAACAGTTAAGAAGTTCTTAATGAAATCATTCTTTCATATTGAAATTCTCGACTCGATTAAATGATTCTTATGGAATCTCTGCTTCTGTCCGGCAATCGCTTACAAATCTGATTTACGAGTAGATGATAATGGTTATATTTTATGTGCTGCGACGAGATAGGGCTGCAAGAGAAGAGGGAGTTGTAGAGTTCCGCAACTACTTCAGCTACCTATGTTACTGCTATCAATAAGAATTGGAATTCATTCACTTCTAAGTAACATCAATATCTAGCTAGAAAGCTCTAACAATCCAGATATTATTATACATAAAAAAAATTGAAGTGAATATAACATGCGAAACTTTCTGATTCAGCAAAATTAATCAGTATTGTGGGTTGCAAACCATGAATTCTTAACCAAGACCCGTGCCCGCATCCTGGCGAGGTGCATCAGCCTTGATACGGGGTGGCCTGACTACACGATCAATGAGGCCATATTCAAGAGCCTCTTGTGCGCTGAAGCGTTTCATCCTGCTCAGGTCTTGGGCAATCTGAAGAGATGCATTAGAAATTAGTTTCTAAGCCAATAAAACTTAAATTCTTAAAGTTTTAATATAAACGCCCTGGATAGCAGGAACTAAGATACACAATAAAAAAATGGATATGAAATAGAAAAACTGAGAAGAGGCGAGAAACCAACAGAGGGAAAATCATATCCTTGTTGAAGCAGTGTGTCAACGTTGAATTTGACTTCACCATCAAAGAAAAGCTAACAATTGTTTTCAAGATATTTTTTTTTCTCTCTTTGAGTGAGCAAGTTTCTTAGTCAAGCAATACAGTCGTGAGATTCAAACCATAACATAAGTGACACAAACTCATTTATCTACAGGTATTTCATTGTAGAGTGAACTGACCGTCTCAACAGGCTGGCCTGTTTTCTTTGACAACTCATTGAAAAGGTAATCTCTGATTCTGAGAAGTTCATTTGCTTCATTACGAATGTCATCAGCCTGACAGAATTATCATGATGTTAGCATAAAAAAGGAGACGCAATCCCATTCATAAACCAGAGAGGTGAAATTAATGACCTTAATCTCAGACAGAAAACAGACATACCTGGCCACGAGCAGCTCCTGCTGGAGATTGAAGAGCAATTCTTGCCAGAGGCATTGAAAAACGATTGCCCTTTATATGGCAGAACAACATAAAAGGATTAATAGATCGTAAGAACTATTTTCATAACACTAGAGAAGTCAATATACTCAATGCAGTGAGCACAAGGCACAAATAGCATGAAATGAATTAAACATGAATGCAACGACAGAATGAGCAGAACGAGGAAGCTTAGGAGCCAAAATATGATGGAATTGGTGACAAATAATTCAATGTTTATTACTGCTCTTTCTTTTCATTTAATTGCTCATAATGGGATCTCTATGAGGTACTCCATTTTATTTCAATCTACAGGACTTGCCAGGTTTTTCATTGGAACATATAGTACCATAATTGATAAACTGATAATATGATCACTCATGAAAGATAACGCTATGCTATAAATATAAATTGTATATGTCATGCCCTCACCAATGGTTAAAGAAGCAGAGAGAGAAACTATTATCCTTTTATTTCTGGGTTGTGTACATGATTTAGTGTCACAAAGTTATTTCAAGTGCCTACTGATGCCAAGCATAATTCTTAATCATATTAATGGCAGGGGGTGGGGATACAAATGTATGATACAGAAATAACTCTCAATAGACAAGTCTAAAGTCCAGACAACGTAGGTCATGTTTGATAATATGGGGAATAGAAATCCCTAACAGTATAATGCCTTACTATGGAAGACTTGATTTACACAAGTTGTATTAATAGACTGTGATAGTACAGTACCTTTTCTCCAGCTGCAAGGATAAATGTTGCAAGATTATAAGCAAAGCCAACACAGTGGGTGGCTACAGGACTCTGCAAGCTCTGCATGGTGTCATAAATAGCCAAGCTTGGTGTAACCTGCAAAAGTTGCAAGCTATAAACCATGACTAATCAACAAGTGGACATTAATTGATTATTAATTTAACACTAGAATCATAAAAGACTTACATCACCACCAGGACCATTGATGAACATATAAAGCTTCTTAGAGTTATCTATACTGTCAAGGTACAGCATAGTTGCCAATATTTGATTACTAAATTCTTCATTTATCTCTTGTCCAATGAAGATAATACGTTCTCGATACTGCAACAGTAATGCACTAGTTTTTGTAGACATTAACTTTACAAAAGAGATGAAAATATAAAGGAAATTTGAAGTTCACAGCTGAATAGTGATCTATACCTATGTGGCACAGAAAACCAGTATGTTTTAGATGTTTAAGGTGTAAAATTAATGATAAACACCAATGTGTGTAATGACTTACAAGGGCATTCCATAAATCAACCCATTGCCAAGTTCCTTCACCAGGCGTCAAATAGGGGACTTTAGGTGTCCCTATGGGCATCATTCGAATCTGTGCCCTTGATGGATTGTGGTTAGCATACCTGAAAACATGAAAAATTTATATTGTTTGCATCAGTCTGTTTTCAATGACATTTAACATGTGACAAACTCTCCTACAAAGTCTGACACATCATTCATTCTCAACTGGTGTAAACCAACCTGTATCCATACTTTCAATAGGTCAAAGATGGATTGTGTTTAACATTCTCCTTTTGAAATAGGGTGGATACATATTAACCATCGGATATAAATTTAAGAAAATCAACGGTCTGAAATATCATTGATAATTTAATAAATAATTGCAAAACAGTCCCTTACTGGCACTCATACACAGGCGGCAATGTAGTACACTTGACACAAGATGACCACTTTGATAGAGCTGCATCATATAAGGTGCAATCAGTTGGCAGTGGTAGGTAACAGCAGCTTCCATTTAACATGACCATTTTGATAGCTTCTTCTAACATGTCAAGCCCCTTTTAGCCTCTCCCATGTTACTATTCCCGAACATGCTCAAGCTTCCTTGCAAGAACTTGGCTATCCAAGGCCATAGCTTGTCTATTCTTAACTCCAATGTCCTTTGCTTCTTAGAGCTCCACTTTATTTTACCAAAGATTCAAATCTTGACTCAAGAGTGTATTCATAAGGTGCTCACCTCTAAATAAAGGCTTGCATGGTGGGATGGAGGCACAGTCCACACAATGGAGTGATGGGGGACATTGATGTGGATGGTGACTGGCCATCTTCATTATAGAACGGTAAATGATGAATTGATGATGTGGGGCTCATGTGGCAGGCTGGCAGAACAACTAGCACAGGATTGTTTACAGTGATTTATGAAAGTTTTAAATCTTGGTTGGTTAAGGTGAGAAAGAGACAGTTGAGTTATGGTGGTCAATGGTGAAGGATGTGGTGGTGTGGTAAGGTTTGTGCATTTGTTGCTAGTTGGTTCAGTGAATGATGGAGGTGCGTAGCAGAGGTTGACAGAATGACAGTGGCAGGAATCAGTCAAAGGGGAAACCTAGGTTAGATGACTCCTTGGAAATGTACAAAATAAGATAGGGACTTTTTAGCAAAAAATAATTGATATAAGGATTTCTGAGCAACAAGGTGCATGGATGCACCAAACAAAATGTAAGGTGCTCAGTCTGTTAAAGATGATTAAGAATGCAATTCACAATCACACTTGTAATAAGAAAACTAATTATGATATATAATATCTCATGTTATGCTATGAACTCAAGTGCTGTACTTTCAAAAATTACTTGCTAATCTAACAACAACAATCATAATAAGATAAGTGGGAATTGCTTCCTGCTGCCAGGAAAACTGTGTTGGAGGGCAAGTGTTTTGTTTGCAGATTTACGGAATCAGAGTCTGTAAATCTACCAGGTACACAGTAGTAAAATGATATAGCAGGGCAATCACAACAAGCAAACACAACAAATACAACATGACTCACTTTTCATCACAAAACACATTATGAAGAGGAAAAATGGAAATGAAACTGATTCCTTTCATAACAACAACATCTAAGTTTTATCCCAATGAGGTTGGCTACATGAATAATACAATGCTATTGAACTCAATCAAAAATCAATTTTTTTAAGATATTATTAATTGTTATATTTTTTTAATAATTTTCTCTAAAGATTATATGGGTCTCCCCTTTATCTTTTTTCACTAGATCAAGTCATTTTATTCACTTTTTTCACTGCTTTTTCTAATGGCCTTTTCCAAATCATTTTAATTGATTTTCTGTCATCTTTTTCACAATATATGCTATTCTAATATTCTTGACTATACAACAATAATTTCTTACCCTATCCTTATGTGACCATTCATCCATTCTAGCATTTTATTTATGAAATTTCCACTTTTTTTCTCATGCTATTCCTTTAAAATCCAGCATTTACTAAGAAACAGGAATTTTAGTGTACAGTGCAAATGTACAATTCTAGCTACATAATCAATTACTTGCCAGTACAAACGGAGGTTAAAGAGCAGCAATTCAATCCAAGAGATCGTAATCCATGTTACTGACTATCTTGGAAAGGTTTATCACAGTGAAGATGGCACCAATTCTAAATAAGGCACACTCCAAAAGCCAAAAATAAATAAATAACTCATATAACCTCACCGAAAAGAAGAATATGAATTGGAAATGGGGAGTAAGGGGGATTACCGGCAAAGAGTCTTGTGAACTTTTCCATAAAATTCAGCGGTTAGGTTAGGTTTTGCCGCTCCAAATGGACCTGCAACTGAAAATGGTGAGCAAACAGAAAGAGTTTGAGAAACGAAGATTGAAGAAGAAGAAAGTGAGGGAATGGGACACACTCGCAGATTGAAGTTTCAATCCGGAATAGAGTTTAGTGGCAAAACTGCAACGGCAAAAGAGAGAACATAGTCAACGAATTACATAATTTATAGTAAGTGTATCGCAGATGGAGAGAGAGAGAGAGAGAGAGAGAGAGAAACCTAGGAGTTGGAGGAGGAGAAACACGAAGTGCAGAACCGGTCGTGTAAGGTGCGACCGCCATGTTGTGGAAGGCAAGGTAAGAGAGAGCAGATAGGGAAGTTACTTCCTGAAGAGTGAAGATGATGAATGATGAATATCAACGACACCCCGTTTCAATCCTTCTTCCTTTTTTTTTTTTTCCTATAACTTTTCCATGCTAGTTTAGAACCTATTATGAAAGTTTACTGTGATATATTAATATTTTTTATCATTTAAAAATGTTAGATAATTTTTTTTTACTATAATACATTTTTACAAAAAAAATATTTTTTCATGACGTTTCCCTTTTTAAAAAATTAGAAATATTTAATAAAACATATCGTTCGTTTTTTAAGTATTCGTTGACAAAAACAATTTAAATATAAAAAAATATTTGATTAAAATAACATTGAAAATGCTAAAAAATTAAAAAATATAATTTTCTATTTAATATTTTTTATTCATAAGTTTGTAATAAGTGTTTGTTAACATTCATTTTTATTTTTACTAAGAAAAAAAACTATCTTAAACTTTTATTTATAAAAATTATAAATAAAAATTGTTCTCCATTCGAACTTTAAACAAAAAAGATAGATATTATATGTATAAGATTTAAAATGTTTGTATTATAAAAATTAATAATATGATATTCCTTAATGAAAAGATTTTTAACTATTTTGAAAATTGATGATATCTTTTTCTTTTAATTAGATCTCAGTTTTAATAAATTGATTAAAAAATATTATTTTTTACTTTCAAGAAATTAAATATTTTTATTTAATATCTTTTATTTTAAATTATTAAGAGATTAAAAGATTAACTTTTTTATTAGATGCCTCATAACTAATTTTTCGCTTTCTAGGGATCTAGATACTTGTCATCATGAATCTTAAGATTCCGTTGTCACACCGTACCAAATCTGATACGATAAATGCAACCATTGTAACATGTAAGTTTACTCCTCAAATTCTTTTTATACATTAAAATTATTAATAATTTAATCAAGTTTTAAAGATAAAATTAAAGTTAGTTGGACATCAATGGATAAGTCTATGTATAATTTAACATAATTATCAAAATATAATTTAACATTTAGATTTATAAACTCGTATTGTAAAAAATGTTACTCCCTTCGGTCCTCCTCCTAAAAAATAATTATCACTTTTTTTTATCTAAAATATAAAAATTAAAAAAAATTAAATGCATTAATTATTAAATTCTTTTTTACTTTTATTTATTATAAAATTTAAATTATCAAAATGCTCACCTATTATTCATATTAATAGATATTTTTTTTGCTGAATAGATATATTTATTGTTTAATATACAAGATACTAATTTGATAATTTATTACTATAAGTATTTTTAGTATATACTATAAATTTATGAGATATAAGTACCTTTTATTGATCTTATTAAATTAATTATTTGTTTCAAATAAAAAAAATAATGAGTATTAATGAGAGGAAGTCTCTCTCTCTCTCTCTCTCTCTCTATATATATATATATATATATATATATGATGAGTGATAAGAGCGTGTGAAGTGTTATTCTCAACCTTATAATTACTGCTCAAACGAGCATAAATGGAACAGGCAATAAAACTGCTTTGAAGTGTATTGATACATGATACAGACATTTCAATGTCCAACAACGGAAACTGGCAGCAACCAAAACCTAAAGTACAAGTTAGTCCAGAATAGCGTAGAAAATGGATACTTCCAGAAGCATTCCACAAAACAAGCCATCAACAGCAATTATTCATAATTGTCTTCCAGAGATGTGTAGATCATCCTGCAGCAGAATGTAAATGTAAGAATAGTATCTTAATAGCACCTCTTTATAATGAATACTAAGCTTTTTCTTTTCTAGTCACCATACCAAAATAAGGAGAGGAAAAGAATAAAAACAAGATAGAAGAGTTTGAAAAGCCGTTGCTTCTTCTCCTTAGAGAGCAAGTTGAATATCTCTGTAACATCAACCAGATGATTTCCCTGTCTGTACCTGATTAAAGGAATAAAATATGTAATTAGCAAGACCATATTAAGAACATTCCTCTATATGAAGATATCAAGGATGTTTAAAGCATGGAAACAAGTCATCCCCTTTGATCCTCTAACTATAACTCTATCAAAAATCATCAACTAAACAAAATGGCAGCTATGACACAAAAATATACTGGCAAACGGTACTAGAACATGTAGACAAGAAACTGATATACAAGGCACATCCAAGGTGTGCAAACTGCAGCTCAAAAACTCTTAAGTAGCTGCATCAACAATTAGTCACTTTTAGCTCTAGTTACTAACTTGGATATAATCTTTCCATCGAGTAACATTGTTGAGATTTAAGACCCAACAGACACACATCTACAAGTGTAACCTGCTTAGCAATTACATGAACGAATAAACAAAAATACCGTTCACAACTATAGAGTGGATTTTTGAAAAATGGCTCGTCTCATGCACCATGGATATAAGTCACTCCTTTGGCTGGTTCACAATGTTAGGTAATTTGGTTTGGTTTAAACCACATTAAACGAGCCTTCACTAATAACACTAATCCCAATTTCATTTGATTTTTTGAACTCACACCAAAACTAGATCAATTAGTATGACCTTTTACAAGACATAGATTGAAGAAGATAATAACACAAATTCCATATTTATACTGCTAGATGGGGGTACCAGATCAAGGAAATAGAGTTTGAGATTTGGAGAAAAAAAAAAAACCATTTTGTGACCCAATGGCTTCATACTTCAACAAAAACACTACCAAAACGCCCCCCTTTTTCTTTCAGCAAAACAAACCAAGCCAAACTAAACAACACAGGAAAAAAGAATGAACAAACCTTCCATACAGTAAAAAATCGGGTTAATCGATTTGGTTTGATTCTCTTAATACTCCTAAGCAAATATAAAAATGAAGAATAATGTGCAAAAACCTAAAACTCAAAATTCAAACTCTCAACCTCACCCCCAACAACTATGCAGATACAAAATATAAGTAATTCTTAGTAGCAAAAATATAGCCTGTGTAGCAACTTCATGTAGCATAAACCAATAATTACTTATTTCAATTAAATTGGCTTTTCTCATGCCATCAACAAATTACTCTTTTCCTGGGCAGTCACACAACGTCTACAATACCAAAGAATGCAAAAGATTCAAAATTCCAACTCAAGCTGCCATCCAGTTTCATATCAGTGTGCAGACATATATTATTTCCACTTAAATGTTTCTTAAAAACATCATATTAAGGAATCAGTATCTTTCATTAATGATAAAATTCTTCAGCTTATTTCTAGATTTGATAGAAAACTTACAATCTCACATTGTAGTAGAGGTAAGGAGCACATAACAGTGACATAAACCAATGCCCTGTTACAAGGTAGAAGCAGCATAGCACACCTTCTATAATATACTCAGGCAAAATCACTTTGTTTATTCGAGATGAGGAATCATAAGGATTTATATAATCAAATTCTAGGTCTGCCAGGCACATTAACTGCAATAAATGTTAAACAGAATCAGCAAATGTCAGATAATGCCCATCAAAAAGGTTGATGGTGCGCCAAATGCAACCAAGTTCATTACAGATTCCTTGAGAAAATACCAGTGAGCAATGACAGTACGACAAAATGCAAAATTCGTGAGTAACAGTCAACCATCTTCAGAAGGCTCTGAAGCAGAAACAGATAAGTAACAGACATAGGGAGAAGTGAGACTCCTAACTCCTAGAATATTCAACAGATCAACATGAGGACATCTACACGTAATAGCATATAAAATAAGTCCTTTGCAAATTAGAATAAGCCCTATTATATGAAAATAAGCCCTCTTCTCGAAATTAGAATAAACGTTGTATGCAACCTAAGTGTGATTATATTCATCCAATCTCAAAGCCTCAATGTTTTATAAACAAAATGTTCGTGTAATATTTGTTGAGTATGCATCATAAAGAGTGTCATACATGCATTATGTCCATTGAAGTACATCTTCCGAGGAAATACTCAATTGGGGTCCCTTCACACTAAATATTCTCAAAAACCAATAGAAACCATAAGCGAACCCATAGACCCATAATTTTCCTCCTACATGTTTTATTTTCTCTGGGTAAGTTTTTATTTTTATTTTTTCCTTCTCAGACTTAAATCAAATATGAATTAATTTAAGGCAGTTTTTTTTGTTTTCATCCATTTCAGTCGAGGATAGCAATCAAAAAGTTGCATATGGAATAATTAGACATATACCCAGTTGAATGCTTGAACTAAAGAAGAAAACTTGGGATAATGGGGAAGTTAAAATTACTCTGAAGTTGACTTCAACAAAGAGAATAAAACATAAAGAAGCAATAAGTAAAAGTTAGGGCTTGGTGAGATTGACCTGGTAAATGATGAGTACAATTAAGGCAATAAGGATGAAGAAAGAGATGAGCCACGCAAACAGATCAGCCATGGTTCCTCTCCTCTCCTCTTTCTCTTATTATCGATTTCAGTTGCAGCACAACGCGTTCGAACCATGCGACGTGAATTGCGCACGAATGGAAGAGCTCGTGCGCAGTGTACACCGCACGGAGAGAAGCAGAGAAACTTTGGAGGATTTGGATTGCACACTCACCCGGAGAAGCTAAGAATCGTGCGCCAGCGTGTAGCAGAAAAGAATCGTTTCCAATCCACTCCAGAAAAGAAAGGAATTAGTAGACCCTTCTTTTCTTATTTTAATCGAACTAGTTTACTATAAATAATTTAATAATAAAGAACAAAATTTTATAATTTTATAAATAATATATATAATAAAATTATTTCAAACAATAATTTTTTAAAAAAATATTTTAACTTAACACATAACTACAAATAATATGTTATCAAAATGATAAAAATTTAATAAAATTATATCATTTTAAAATAATTTTTTTAAATTAAACATAAAAAATTAATATATAATAATATTCGAGTAAATTTTCATACAAATTTCTATAATCGTAAGTATTGAGTAAATTAATTTTTATAATTTTATAATAGACCTGTTAGTTCTCGATTTTATTAAATATTATATATTTTAGTTTAATTATTAGTTTATGGCACAGCTATGTTAATTTTTATTGTTAAATGTGATTTAAAATATTAAAATCACATCGTTTCTCTTCATTTAACTCTAGAGACATTATTTTTCCACAAAACTTTTACCATGTTTTGAATCTCCACCTATTTCCATACCACCTTCTACACCGCTACCTACCTAAATGGTCCCTTTGACACTAGTATTACAAGCTCTTCTCCCCTATCTCAGCACCCCTTAACTTCCCTTCACATAAGCTTTTTGCCACCTCTATACTCAAATAGATCATGACGAAGAAATGTGAGATAACATTCTTCAACTATTTGGTCTAAGCTCTTTTCCTTCTTAACCTAAATCTTAATATTGTGCAATACAAACACCTTAATCACAGTGACAGGTGGTAGTAGACGGAGGAGAGGACAGGTTGAAATAACACCATTAGAGGAGATAATGGACGATGAGGCAGGGAGGGTGAAACAATACTATTGAACAAGATGATGGAAGTGTGAGTTTAGTGGCAGTGACAGCTATGTTGTGGGAAGAGAGGGTGAAATAATGTGATTTTGGTCACCTAACAGTTAACATCAAAATAGAAATTAGTTGTTGAACTAAAGTACATAACATTTGATAATGTCAAGGAATAATAGGTCTAGTTAAAGATTTCAAGACTAATTTATTTAACATTCACAATTTCGAAAACTAATTTGGTGGTTTAGTCAATAATAATCATAAATTAAAAATATGAAACTTTTAAAAGTAAATTCTAAATTAAAAATTAATAATATAAATTTTATAAATATAAAAATAAGTATTCACAAAAGATACAAAAATTTATATAAAGTAATAAAAAAATATACGTGTAACCATTTATAAAAAAAATAGCAAGTTTTACTAATATTTTACTTTTTAAATAATTAACTCTCATTTATAATACAGAGATTGATATCTTCATTAGTATTTTAAATTATTATTTCAAATTTTAAATATATTATTTTAATGAATTTATTTTGATGCATTATAAATATACAAAAATTTGCTTAATTAATTAAAATATATGATAAATATCATTTTAAATTAATTACTATAAAAATTAATTATTTTGTAAATATAGCAATCTTTGATAACAGCATAAAAAATTTCATTATTAGTATGTTTTAATTAAATTCTATTTTAATTATAATATTTTTAATATATTTTTAAAATTATTAAACTCATTTCATTTCAAATTATGTTATTGTAATTTTAGATATGACTGTATACTAAGTTTTTTTTTTTGTATACAACACATTTGTATTTTAAATTAAATTAAATTTTGAAATAAAGTATTGAAGATATATTATATGTATTTTTTAATTTAACAAGTGTATAAATTATAAAATGTTTATTTTTAATAATAATAAATATTCTATTGTATCAAATTATATAAATATGAGATTTTTACGTTTAAAATAAAAGAAGTTAATTTTTTTATCTATATTAATTGTCAAAATCTAAATTTAAAAATAAATTATAATTAAAACTGATTATAATTATAATGATTTTAAAATTTAATTTATCTAACAATATATTTTTAATTTAATAGAACACTGTATCAAGATTTAAAGTTTGAATTAAATTAAAGTTTAAATTAGAATAATTTAAATGATATATGCTTAATTTTTATTGATTAATATTTCATCTTCAGACATTATTTAAAAAAATGTAAGTTTTGCGTGACTTGTGCTCATTTTTTAAAAAAATTATTCTTTCTGATTCTTTTTATAAGTTATCTTCAAATAAATTATATGAATTAATAAAATTAATTAAAGTTAGTTAAATTTTATAATTTTAAACAAATTATTATAAGATGATGATTTTATCATCATTTAATGTCACTTTACCTAATTACACTATCAATATATTATCATTGTTAATTTAAATTTTAGTTTCCATCTATTCTATTTATTAAGAGTAAATAAAAATATGATAAATGTTTCATAAAAATTATAAAATACTTTTAAAAAATATCATTAAATTTTTTTTATAATATGTCTTGTAAAAAAAAGTATTATGCTAGTCAGACAGGATGTTGATATCATTAGTTATATTCTATTGTCTTTTTAACCATTAGAGATAATGAAAGTTAATTCAGTGACAAGGAAATTATGGGTCAGGTGTTGAACAAGGGAAAAGGAAATGAGTGAAACTATGAACAATATACATCTTTACAGCACCCCTATCTTCATATTTTACCGACATAAATTTCCAGCTAGCAAATGCATATAGCTAAATATCAAATGCTTTTAGATTTAGTAAATGTAAATGTATTATTAATAATGCTTGTGATTAAATTTAAATCAAAGCAAGCAAAATATGACTGCTATTGAAAGATTAATACCACTTTTGTCACATTCGTTTGATTATATATATAAATGAAGAATGGACAAAAACAGACTTAAAATTACAAATATTACTGATGTTGTTTAATTAATGTTCGAATAAAGTTACGGGTACAAGAGAGGCAATCACGGCGACTGAAAAGGTTAAGTGCTCGTAAAAGTGATCGGCACGTTCCTTATCTACAGTAGAAGAGGAACGAATATCATGGAAGGAAATGCAGAATCAAATGCCATATTTTTCTCCTTCTCAGAGCAAGAAGAAGTGGGAGGCTTTGAGCACAGAAAATAATTCCTTGACCCCAACTTCATCAACTTATCATCTGCTTTCAAACCTGCATTGATGTCTCAGACATTAATTTAATGCTTAAAACAAATTATAATTCTGTTTACTATTTAAAAGAATTTGATAAGTGTATGAAAATTATGTAAATGCATTAATAATTTTTTAAAATAATTTTATTAAAAAATTATGAATTAATACTATTTATATTCTTAGAAAATAAAATTTATTCATATTTATCCGTTAATGTAAAAGTTTAAAACAATATTAATTGCTACATTTTTACTAATATTCATTTATTCATATAAAAATATTAGCAGAAAAACTGTTTTCTTAACTTCAGCACAGGTTTAAACACCTAAAAATATTATTTTTTATGAAAAATAAAATATTTATTATTTTTTTTTTCTACTAATCACTTTATCAAATAATTTTTTTAAAATTTTAATAAAAAATTACTATTTTTATACGTTGAAACTTAACATTAATGACTAAGATTAATAAAACCGTAAATAAAATGTTTATATCAGTTGAGAAACTCAAATCACAGGGACACTCATTAACAACAGATATATAAAAAGTTTATCAAATAATTAGAATAAATTTTGATTTAAAAAAAAATTCTTTTTAAAAATCAAACATGCTCGTAGTGTATACATTTTTCTTTCTCTGCAAGAACAAAGTAATTAGCATGTAGTGTGATATACTTATTCAAAGGATAAGCTTTCAGCTATTATGAAAATAACAAGAAAAGGGAAGAGAAAAGGTAAATTATGAATTACTTTCAAGGGTGAAGGAAGAGTAGTGAAGATCATAGCACTTAGGATCAGTGTTCTTCAAGAAGGGCCTCCTCTTCTCCCTCTCGTAAGACACCAACGATGCCTTTATCAAATCGGCGACTGTGTCCTGAGGCAACATCAGAACCTGTATGGCTCCCAAGCTGTTCTCGATGGTCACATTCACCAACACTTTCCATGGCCCAACATCAGACTCACTTCTTTGCAATGGAAGCTTCAGCGTCAGAGGACTGGGGACGAATCGCCGAACCATCCCGGAGTGTTTCTCCGGAGGGGTCTTGCCGGAGAATTTTCTCCGATGACCCGGCGACGCTGAAGTCATGCTTATGAGGATGAGTATTTTCGTGTTTTTTTTTTTTTACTTGTTGATTTTGTTCGAGGAGACGAGGTGGTTGTTTCGAGTTTGAGGAGAGACAGAGAAGGTTGTAATAAGTAAGTACTAAATAGTATACTAACATAACAAACGTTTATTGTTTGGTTGGTTGGAGAAGCTTCTCAGAAAGTGGTGCAGTTTTAACTTTTGTTTGCCTATTTCTTCGGAAAGTGGTGCAGTTTTAACTTTTCTTATAGAGATTACCTTTGATTTTGATTGAATTTTCATGGAAAAATATTACTTTAGTGGTTGGAAGGATTTTTTTTTTTAATTTACGAGAATAATTTGAGTGAATTCTCATTTTAATATTTAAGATTGTAAACTTAATCTCTCTTTTTTCTAAAGATATTTTTATTTATTTATTGATCTTTCGTTTTAATCCTTAATATTAATGAATATGATGTGAAAAAAAGATTAAAGCAAGTGATTTTTACGAAGTTATAGATTAATGCTTTGTTGGTAATTGGTATAAGTGAAATAATAGAAAAAATATATAATTAAAACGAGTTCACTCTTGACAAGCTTCGATGACAGTGGAGAGTTTAAAATCAAATTAACCCATTTTGATAATTTCAACCATTATATGATATATTACGTTCTGTTTATTCATCACATAAATTTTAAAAACGAGAAATAGCCGGTGGGGCTTAAATGATTAATAAGGGAAACTTCTTGGAAATAGCGTTTAGATGGAAAAGAGGCCAAAACTTTGAAGTTTTATCATCCATTTTATAGCTTCTGGTAAGGACTTTATGCATATGGCATATGGTTATTTGGGAATTGAATTGGTAAAAGACAATGTTTTTTAAATAACGATTTAATAAGACAAAATAATAAATTCATAAATTCATTGATTATATATCTATATTTTAAAATATAAATCTAAAGTGTATGTTTGCGCGTTTTGAATGTTTAACAAACGACTTTTTATATATAAAAAAAAACATTCAAAAGTTTTATAAAAAATTAAAATATATTAAACGCACAAAGTTAAATTTAATATTATAAATCAATATCCCGTTGCATAGAAGATTTAATTTATACACTGATATTATAAAAATTAAAATATAACACATTATAATTTATTTATATAAAATATTATCTATGCAAACAAAACAGCATGCAAATAATATTTTCTGCGTTCCTCAGTTTAGTTTTGCTTTCTTGTTTTTGGGCCAACCTTGTTTTCGTGACTGTTGCGTATTAGGCTCAGCCCAATACTGTGGATGCAGTACTAAAATGAAGGCATTGTTAACACTTGTTGACGTCTCTTTAGTTGAACGATTATGTTATATTCCCCTTTGAGTGTTTTTAAATATGATTAAAAAATTTATAAATTTATGTTTTAATCTCTCTGAAATTAATTTTTTATCATCAATACTCCTTTCTCATCTTCTACCCATAAACCCTTCTCTTTTTATACTCTCAAACATAGCTTAACATATGTTGGATAATTGTGTTTACATATAATTTTTGTTTTGTTTGATAAGTTGATTAATTATTTTAAAACTAAAATGTTTCAAATTTATATAGTATTTGTTTGTCTAATTTAATAAAAAGGTGTTTTAAAAGAAAATACAAATTTTTTTTTGCATGTTCATTTGTGCAAATATATTGAAACTTTTTTATGAGTGTTAACATTTTTTTTGTGATGATAGAAAGTTATAAATATTTTAAGTAATAAACTATGAATATAAATCATTTTTTTATATCATCTTGTAGTATGATGTCTACTAAATATTAAGTTAATGTTTAAATACATTTTTTATTTCTATAATTTACTTTGATTTTGATTTCTGTCTTTATATTTTAAAATTTTGCCTCTTGTCCTTATGATTTTGGAATGTAATTAAAATATATTGATATTGTAAAAAAAATTATGTTTTTATTTAATTATAAATTGTCATGTTATTAATAATTATTATCTTTTCTAATAAATGTTTTAGAAGTCATATCTATAATAATTTTTAATTGATTGATAACATAAATATTTGAACACTGACATTATATTAAAATTAAATTTATAATTAATTTTAAGAGTTTAAGTCTTGGTCTCTTTGTGCTTCATAAGTCTTGGTCTCTTTAATATACGAGACATTGGTCAAAATGATAATACCTTACAAGATGTGTTTCGGCATATTACTAATTGTGGAAACTAATCAAAACATTTAAAACTAATGGAATCAAAATTAAACGTTTAAAGTAAGAAATAAAAGCTAAGATCGAAAGAAATGGTAAACACGCAAAAAATATTTAAACTTCAAATTAATAACTTAAAAAATTTATCAAATGGTATTAAAAAAACAATAACCGAATGTCTAACCTGTCATATCATACCACTTTGGACATCCTGCATATCAATTGCAACAAGACAAGTCATTTCGTTAATTGGGTAACATAATTAACATAACTACACCAACCTAACTCGTGGTTGAGTTTAATTGGGAAGATGTTATAAAAGTTGAAGACAATCAAATGAAAGAAAATATATCAGTAGCATGTTTTATTCGGTGAGTCTTAGCCCAACTTTAACTTTGATATAATATTCTTCTCTTTCATATTTTCTTTTTAGTTTTGAAACCATAAGTGGCAATTTTTATTAAAAAAATAAAACATTTTTATATTTTTAGCATAATAAATAATTTTTTTTATAAAATCTAATTACTTATAATTGATTAAAATGAACATTAAGAATTGATAATAATTTTTTCATTGAAGCTCACTTTTCTCGTTATATTGCATGTACAAATGCTTTTTTGAAAACCAAAGTAAGAAATCCAATAAGATACCGCGTTAAAAATGATCTTAAACAGAGTTTTATAAGCTAGGGCTTATAATATGTCATGTAGCACACATTTCCATGGCTTGCGTTGTCCTCTCTTTCAGGAGCTAATATCATTGATTCGTTGTAGTTAAGGACATTCCTCTAGATTTGAACGCAGTTAAGAGGCTCAGGGAAAGCTATGCGTGCTCTTTTGTTGAGGTAACTGACAAAGTGAATCAATTGTATATATTGACCAGGTTAAAAAACAATGAGTGAAGGATTTTAGTGGGTGTTCAACTTGGTCAAGAAAACAAAAGCTCACGATCTTTCAAAATGATGGTGAGATTAATTCCAAGACAAATTCAAAAAGAGGCACCGTACATGCAAATTAATAAGCAAGAAGACCCACATTGTAGTTTTTAATGAATGAATTCGCCTTCGTTTAAAGCTCCTTTATGGCAAAGCCAGCATGGCCATCAACAGTCACCATTACTCTGCACTATAGATTGCTTTGTACATATATATAGGCCACATGGTACTCGATGCATGCTTCAATTCCGCATGCAAATCAGTTCGCATTATATATTGCAGATCCTATGCTATATAAATATATATTGTCCACATTTTACAGCTACAAGAAAGCACAAACATGCAACAGTCGGAGAATCTTTTTGTGGTTATTTTAGTCCACGCACCAAATCATTTGCACCCATCACATCACAGTCACCGCATAGACCACTGATCCAAATTGATGTGTGGGGCTAAGCACCGGAACCAATCATCATCTCAGTCTCAAAGTATCCATCCCCTGACCCACCCCATCATTGTTTTTTCACATAGATATATAGACGTATTAAAAATTGGTTTCTACCGATTATTGAAGACCTAGAACTACAGAGGGTGTTCTATTTCGAATATTTTTTTAATAGAATTAGCACTTAAATATATTGTAATGTGTAAGACTGGTTAGATATGATCATATTTCTCCCACTGAAAGCAGCATTTTTTTTTTCTTTTTTGGTACATTTGGAATTACCATTTAACTATAATTAAATTTGAATTAATTTGAAGCACTTCATACTGTGTTAATTACTATAAACTATATTATGCACAATTAAGTTTCAAAATTGGATAGAATTAGTGGTCTCTAATTGACCTGAGGAAAGGCTGAAAATACGTATATGTACACAATGAAAATGCAGCTGGGAGATTATAATAATGGCACTTATGGATCTCCTAATAAAGGTGGGTTGAAATATTGATAGTAACTTATAGCGATCAGTTTTGATGAAGATGACGTTGCTTTCACTTTGGAGTTTGGCAAAAGTTGCAGAAAAGGGGAGTGGAATTGATTGTTACTTGTTAATCCAATAAAGAGAAATTTGTTATGGCAGAAGTGGTAAGAGTATTTTAATTAGGTGCTTCATTAATTATCATTGCCACTGATAAATGATAATAAAAATTGAGTCAGGAGGAGAGTAAGTGAGAAGGGTAACAGTTGTTACTTGAATTGATAGAGATGCAAATATGATTGAGAAATAATAACCAAGAATTTTCCATGACTAAGTATAGCAATATCTACAGCATAGGTTATAATGGATGAAGGTAAGTATAATACACTCATAATCAGGAGATCGAGAGAGAGTGATCTGTGAAATGAACGATCAAGAGCATAATCGATTGCAATGCTAAGTGAATCTAAGAGCGTGGAGGGAACAAATGATTACAAGAGAGGGGTTGCAAAGCAAGCTAATGATAGATGCTAAGTCATGCTCCCGGTTTTGCTATCCCAAGGACGAGAGCTACCTCTTTTTCCATAACAGCTGTGTTCTTGGGTTAACTTGTCTAACGGAATTTGAATTATGTTAATTGAGGGATAACAAGGAGCCAAAAATAATGTATAGTTGAGTTGACACGTAAAGCATTTTGGATAGGCATGAAAAGCTTTGGGTTTGAACTCTTGAAAGGGGTGAAGCGGCAAGGAGCAAGTAATGCATGGTAATTGATGTGGAATTATAGGTAAGAGGAGTCAAAAAGGATTGTACTTTATGATTGGGATGATGGAGCCCCGGTGACTTCACCTGTTCAGTTTTTACCAATTGCGCCGTTGTTTCTCGTCAGTTCAGAGGTACCTCATCCCGTCAGAGCTAACGCGGGATCCAGCTAAGACTCACTCCCATCAAAAATTTTTAGGTGCTTCGCGAATACGTTCCATTTTAATATTTTCTTAAATCAATTCACCCGAGTTCAATAT